TATATATATATATACTCATATTACTGGGTCAAAATGTAAACCTGCTCTGTAAAAAAAAAAGCCATTACTCATGATTTTTTTCTTTTACATAATGTTTCTCTATAATAAAACAGCCACAATAAATCCCACTTTTTTGAACTTTACACCAGATATTAGCGGCACTTGACAAACCTACCTCCCACGTTTCCAGGAAGTGAGTATTATCACTGATTGTTTCTCCATTGCTGTCCAAAGGAAAAAGTTCATCACCAGGCTGCAGCACAGGAAACAAAATACAGAAATTAAGAGTACAGATGGCTCAGAAATTAGACTCAAACCTGCTTGATCATAGTTTCTGTAAGGAACAGTTCCCCACCTTAAAACCCATGGGCCAGTGCACCAGATACAGGTCTAAGTAGGCCAGTTTCAGATCACTCAGAGTCTTCTCACAGGCTTKCCGTACCAGGGCCTTCTCATGGAAAGTGCACCACAGCTGTAAAAGAAACACGTTGAATATTTAATCCAAACAGGTGACTTTTACTGTGCAGTTCGCTTGTTTTACTGTACGTGTACTTTGGTTTATCAGCTACCTTACTGACGATGAAGAGCTCTTCTCTCTTGACCACGCCGTCCTTGATCATGGTATTGACCCCCTCGCCCACCTCCGCCTCGTTCTGGTAGACAAACGCCCCATCGATGTGTCTGTAGCCGGCCAAGATGGCCGCTTTCACCGCCTCGGTGACCTTCCCAGATGGAGACTAGCAGACAAGAATATGTGGGGGAGGATTTCAAAAAAAGTGTTTACAAATCTAGAATACAAAACTACAATTCTGATCTAGGCTATAAAATTATTCAAGTCTAACCTTAAGTGTGCAAAATACATAGAAAAAGTGAGAAAAAAAATGATGCAGCTTCTTTACAATGTTGCTTCTATTGGTTGAGGTTTGCAAACATTTATTTATGCTTTATTTTAAACACACTGTACCGTTGCTCCGACTTGTTTTTTAGCCTTTTCTGTTGTAAATTTGCTGATCATCTTCTTGTTGCGTGACTAAATGTTGAGCTAGCTTCAGCTGCTGAGCAGCTGACTTGTTTCTTTTTAGAAAGAAGCTTCCTTGAATCTGCTAACCGAGGCCCGTAGAGTCTGAAAAGAATAGAATTGTTTTTAAGATTTTGTTTTTAGTTTTTAAACGTCTAAATGGTTTGGCACCTCATTATCTCACTGAGCTTTTAC